GTCATCCATGATGGCTCTTTCCCTTGCACTCATCTCATTCATCAGGAAGGACTGTAGGCCTTTTGATAAAGTATGGTCCCATTGTGAACACTCTTGGCCTTGTCCTCTCCACCCACCGACAAACGCTGCCATGTCTACCGTGCTGCCCTGAGATGGTCTGTTAGCAGGTTACTTCCTCCTAATTTTGCAACGTTCCTCCCTGTCCTCTGCAGACCAGCCAGCAAACAAAAATTAAATGTAAATCACATCACACTGTCCTGTCCGCTATTCATCCATGGTGTCTCTTCACATAGAGAAGAAAGCTCCAGCTCCTTCTTGTGACCCATGGGCTCTCCAAGGTCTATTCTCTGCCCATTTTCCCCAACCGTATTTTCTAACAGCCTTACCTTTGCTCACTCCCTCCCCGGATCCCTGGCCTTTTTCCCATTCCTCAAGCAAACCACAATGTGAGAACACAGGCATATTGAAATGCCAGATTCTGGTGAGAGGAACATAACTAAATCCTAGAGAGAGAAAAGAAATAGAGGGTAAAACATTCCTGAGAAGGTGGAAGGGGGTGAGGTGAAGCTCAGATGGAGGGATCGGTCAGAGGCTGTATGAGAGAGGCCTCCTCCAGTCCTAGAGGAAGAAGGAGCCCAGGATGGTGTAGAGGTAGTTGCTGAAAAGGAGGCCCGGTGAGGAGACAAAGGAGGAAAAAAAGATGATTGAGTTAACAAAAACCTAGCTGTAGGATGGGCTAAGCCTAGCAGCGGGGATGAATGCCTCATAATTCATTCATCTACTTATTCAACAGATATTTGTTGATCTGCCATTTGCCAGGAACTGGTGTTAGGCACCGACGTTGGTCTTGAATTACTTTTGCTTAGCCATTGAACTTAGAAGCAAAATACACATTCATTCATTGAGACCTTGGAAAGTCTCCTTAGATTCTGAGTCTGTTTCCTTTGTAAGACCAGAATAATAAGGATGCCTCCTCTGCTGATTGAAATAGTTAAATGTGTGGTGTTATAAAAAGTTATCATTTATCAGAAGTAGTAGTGAGGTCGTATCTCTGTGGAGGTAGGGACCATGTCTATTTCATTAGCTATTAAATTGCTGGTAAGTGATCATTTATAGAATGAATGTGTGAATGAATGAATGAGTGAATGAATGAATGAATAAATAAAGAAGTTTTAAGAGGAGGGTTTTGGTACTTCATAGATTTTGAGAAGCTACTGGAAATACTCTCACTGACAAAGTAACCTGAGTAATTCATACCACAGCAGTTAAATTTTGGTTTAGCTCATCAGGCTTAAGCATTAGTGCTCCAGCTGCGGGAACTCTCTGACATTACACAATTTTACAAATTCATCTGAAGCGTGATGACCACAGACAGGCTCCTCTCTCTAGTCTGTTCTCTTCAGGGCCCCTTCCCTCCCTCTTGCACGAAGCACCAAGCTAGGCATGCATTCTTCTGTGGTCCCTGGCTTATAGGTTTTGTATCATTTCATCCTAGATGCTACAGATAAAAGATTTAAGGTTCAATGAGCTCTGGACAGATTGTCAAGTAGCCAAAGCAGGGGAGATGAATTTGGTGGGGGTCAATGGGACTCAAACACTGAGGTCTAAGAAGCAAATAGCAGAGAATGGACGTGAAGGAAAGCCACACAGCTGCTCCTGTGCTGCAGAAAAAGGCAACAAGCCCAGCACTCTGGCGCATGGTTACAATCCCAACACTCTGGAAGGCTGAGACAGGAGGGTGACAAGTTTAAGCCCAGCCTCAGTAATTTAGGAATTTAATGGGAAACTGTCTCAAAATAAAAGCATAAAAAGGGGTTTTGGATGTAGCTTAGTGCAGAGACCCTAGGATCAATCCCTAGTATTGCCAAAAATGAAGGCATAAAATACATATCCCAGGGACTAAAATTTGGGAAAGGCCATGTAAAATTACCTTTGTTCAGGTGATCTATTTGGCATCAACATTTAAGGTGTTTATAATATATGACTTTCAAAATAAAATAGGGAGTAATCGCTTCAATAGAAGTAGTATTCATGCATACCTCCGCAATTTCCTGGTTGGTCACCAGCCTCTACATCAGAAAATACTGTTAATACTGTGCACTTGAATCAGAATTTATTTTTCTACACCAGTCCTTTAGTTCAGCTTTTCCATTTGGTCAAAAGTTAAAAAAAAAAAAATTATTTGCCTTTTCCTAAGAATAGCTGTGAAAATGATCTTGGACAGCTGGTTTACTTTAAAAACAATTCTGGCATTAATTGGGTACTATTCAAAGTGATTTACATGCATTATCACATTTAATCTTCATTACAGTCCTATGTGGGATGGACTCTTATTAGCCAGAGCTCTTAAATGAGAAATTAAGCCTCAAAAGTGAGTAAGTAAATTCATTGAGGTTCCATGTGTTATCAGAACTTTCTGTCAGTGCCTTTGCATCGAACTACATTCCCAGCCACCTCTCATAGTGCTCAGATTACATGAGTGTCTGGCTACCATACCCAGCTATAATCAGAACTCTTAAACCCTACAAACCTGATTCCCAAAGCCTGAAACTGAGAGTTGAGTCTGGTGAGCACTAAACCAACACACAAACATAAAGTCAATCAAAACACTTTAGAGACTATGTCACTCCAAGATAATCATGATCATTTATGGCCAGAGCTACTGCTTTGATCTGAAAACTCCATACTACCCGAGCATTATACACTCACAAGGTCCAGTTCTGTGTGAATTTCTTTATGAGACAAATTCCTCTTGCTTAGTAAAAGTGCTTGCCGAGAAAGCTCAAAACCCAGCAGCAATTAATTATTGACAGAGCATGTGAATTAGAGATAAAAGAAAAGTCATTCTTTCTCCACACACGCGATAGTAAATAAATTTAATTATGGTAGGAGAAGCTAAGGGATCTTCGTCTGTATTAAGTTTTATTAGCGGAGACGTTTAAAAGCATGTCATCATAACAAAGAGGTCTTGTGTAATCCTAAATGTACCACTTTGGTGCAAGGCTTGGAAGTGAATAGACTTAATGGAGCACCTGGTGGCAGATGGCCCCCTGCACCAACAGGTATTGAACAGATTTATTATTAGCTAGCTGGGGTCTGTATATACGAACAACAAATTGACTGCATAATAGGATCCTTCACCTCATTTTATCACTGATAGGCCCAGTACGTTGGGATTCAGGGAAATGGCATCAAACCCCTTCAGTGTCCCAAATAAAAAACACAGATGGATGAGTAGGCATGGAGAAGTACTGTCATGAGAGGAACCAAGAGACGTGGGCTCCAGTATGGAATCTGTGTGAATCAGCTTTCTGTTACTTTAACAAATACCTGAGATAATCAATTGAATAGGGAAAGTTTATACTGGCTTATCATTTCAGAGGTGTCAGTCCATGGTTGATTAGTTCCATTGCTTTTGGGTCTACAGTAGTACCATGGTGGGAGCACATGGTAGAGGACAGCTGTCTCACCTCATGGGCAGAACATGGAAGCAAGAAAATGGAAATGAGGGGATTGGGGCCCCCATATCCTCTTCAGAGGCCTCCATGACCTCAATTCCTGCCACAAGGCACTATCACTTAAAGGTCCTACTACCTACCAATATGACAAGGACTGGGGACCAACCTTTCATCAGCACATGAGACTTTGGGGGGTGTTTCAGATTCAAACGATAGCAGGACCTCATCGGTGGCTCCCTGGGCAGACTTGCAACTGAAGGCAGACACAGCTCTCATAAGTGAATCGACCCTGTGTTAGATGCTTTGGCTCCACATGTCATTGTATTCTCAACAAAGCTCGAGCTAAGTTTTAAGATTTTACAAATGAGGATAATAAGGTTTGCTTGGTGATGTGACTCTGTCTGCAGGTTGTACGACCTGTCTGATGCATATGTCCATTCTCCGTCCCTGGCTTCTGTCTCCTCACTTGCACATTATACCTTTGGACTGAATCAGGGGTCAGAAAACATCCCCTTAGGGGCTGGGGATTTAGCTCAGCGGCAAAAGCGCCTGCCTGGCAGGCGCAAGGTCGTGAGTTCGGTTCCTGGTACCGGAGAAAAACCAAAAACAAACAAACAAACAAAAAAAAAACGAAAACATCCCCTTAAACAGCCGAGTAGGGAGTACATATCAGAGCCCCAGAGTCTCTCTCCTACTGGCTCAACTTGGTTGTTACAGTGCAAAAGCAGCCGTAGGTAAGATGCACAGAAAGTGTGGCTGTGTCCCAGTGAAGACTTCTTTGTGATCATCAAAATTCAAATTTTATATAATTTTTATGTATCATTCAGTGTTATTATTATTGTGGTTTTTCCCAACCATTTAAAGATGACAAATCCTTCTTAGCTGTGACTCATACAAAAACAGGAGGCAGGTAGTGGTTTGCCAGCTCTAGACTAGATCATCTTTGATGTCTTGTTGAGCTCCAACATTTTCTGAAAGCCACTAGGACAATAATAGGATCCTTCATTTATTAAGCGCTTGCACATGCCAAGTTCTGTACTAAATGCTTTTCTAACATTATCTCCCTTAATCCTTACACTACAGTGTGAAGTCAGTGCTATCATCATCTCCATTTCAGAGATTATGAGCCTAATGTGTAAAGAAATTAAGGGCATATCCAGGTTAAACATGATTGTAAGAGGTAGAAAAGCAACTTAAACTGGGGGTTGTAAGGTTCCCAAGACAGAATTCACAGCCTTATGCCACCTTTTCTGATAATTATATAGTCATGACTATAGTTGGGACACACAGATAAGTGAAATCCGATGTTTATAAGTTTTATTCTGTGACTTTCACTAGGTTACTCATGTCACACGTTTTGGGGCTGGGGATTTAGCTCAGCGGCACAGTGCCTGCCTGGCAAGCACGAGGTCGTGAGTTTGATTCCCGGTACAGGAAAAAACAAAACAAAAAGAACGGGTCATGTCACACGTTTTGTGCAAAGATGTTCAACAATTTGTGGGTAGGAATAACTATCCTCTTTCCTTTTACTCCCTCTTCCAGAAATGTGATGCCCAAGACCATTGAGGGGCAGATAACCATGGAGAAGACCCCAAGTTACTTTGTGACAAATGAGGCTCCCAAGCGCATTCACTCCATGGCCAAGGACATCAAATTGATCGTGGTGGTGAGGAACCCCGTGACCAGGGCCATTTCTGACTATACGCAAACACTGTCAAAGAAACCCGAGATCCCTACCTTCGAGGTGCTGGCCTTCAAAAACCGGACTCTGGGGCTGATCGATGCCTCGTGGAGCGCCATCCGGATTGGGATCTATGCCCTGCACCTGGAGAACTGGCTCCAGTACTTCCCTCTCTCACAGATTCTCTTCGTCAGCGGTGAGCGACTCATTGTGGACCCTGCCGGGGAAATGGCCAAAGTACAGGATTTTCTGGGCCTCAAGCGCGTTGTGACTGAGAAGCATTTCTATTTCAACAAAACCAAGGGATTCCCTTGCCTCAAAAAGCCGGAAGACAGCAGTGCCCCACGGTGCCTAGGCAAGAGCAAAGGTCGGACTCATCCCCGCATCGACCCTGATGTCATCCACAGACTTCGGAAATTCTACAAACCCTTCAACATGATGTTTTACCAAATGACTGGACAAGATTTCCAGTGGGAACAGGAGGAGGGTGACAAATGAGGCTAGAGCTGTGGAGGGAAGGCCAGTGAATACCAAGGGGGCTCTTTCCCTGAGACCTGAATTCCCCGGGTTCTGCGGCTTCAGCCTTGTGGGAGTGCCAAGTAGATCTCCTCTTTTGTGCAGTCAGGATTGCCTCCAAAGCTGTTGGCTGGGGCAAAGGGGTGGATCCCACAGCATTCCCAGGGAGAAAGCAGGCTTGATGTCTCTGGTTGACCAGATGGCCACAGCACACACCATTAATTCTTCTACTAGTCAGTAGAATGTGAAGGCAGCATAGATATCTGTCAATGTCAGAGACAGTGAGTGCATGAGTGTTTGTTTGAGTGGCAAAAAAGAAAGACCTACTTTACAGGGGCTCCTATGTTCGTTGGGGAACTTAGGTCTTAGACTTCTGTCTGGTCCTCGCACCTGATGTCTAACCTTCTGCTTTGGCTGACTCCAGAATGCTCTTTTTGGCTGAGTGCTCCAGGACTCTTAGGGAGCAGGGTCCTCCCTCTAAGGCATTTCTAGTCTTTCATCAAAGGCCTCATACCATGACCCCTGGCCTCCTCCTTCCGCACTGTATGAAGGCAGAGGCATGCACCTACGTTTCTCACCAAAACCATAGCTAACGGTCCTAGAAGCTGTCCTTCTAAGAGCCCACTAAGGGCTCTCTCTTCATGAGTAACCTGGAATTAAGGAGAGGCTCTGCATCCGTTAGAATCAGGTCCATAGGGCTGTTCTCAGAGAGGGATGATTACAACCGAGCCCAGAGCCCTGAGATCAGTGGAGATAAATGGCAACATATAAGGGAGAAAGAAGAAATTGAGTCCTCCTGGTGAGAAGTATCCTTTCCCAAAGACCCTCTCCCCCAAGCACCATGGTCCCCAGGCATGCTTTTGGGGTAGACTCTGTCCCCTAGAGTCACCAAAGAGGCAAAGACCCGTAAGTTGGTGTGTCTACTGTTGTGAATCACCCCTAGTGAAGCAGTGGGGAAGAAGCAGTCACCCTCTGTTTGTCTTACCACTGCCGTTCAGGGTCACCTCATGGTTCATTTTCGCTACTCAGAGATGGCATCTAATGGGACAATGGCAAGAGGGCTGATTCCATTTGTCAGATTCAGTTTAAGGGGGGTGGGAGAGGTCAAGGGCTGTCTTCAGACACCCCTATCAAGGGCTGCCGAGTAACGTGTCCCTTTCCATTAGTTTGATTCAATTAAAATACAGCATTTGACATAAAGCACTTGTTCACATAGCTCCAAAACCAGGAATTGTTCTAGTAAAATTGGAAATTTGTATAAATGGGGGAAGTTAAATCTGTTCCACTGTTATTAAACTGTCATTTCTCCCGCTCAATGAAAACTGTGTTGTTATAAAGCTTCATGCAAACCTGATTAATGAGTTTTGATGGCGTGTTTGTGTTGATCATTTCCATCTTCACCCTTACCCCTGGAATGCTGGGAACATCCTTGCTCTGGGGTGACCAGAAAGCACCGGGTTTGGGAGATTTGGAGAATTCTGTCTGCAAAGCAGGATGATTCTTGCCATAACACAAAGAAAGTGGCTCCTGAAGACAGTGCAGTTTACCCTATCTCAGTCAGTCCCGGCAAGGAATTGACTGATACAGATTCAGAAACACCTTTACAAATAATTTTTTTCCAGATAAGAAAAACTCAGCTGAAAGCAACAGATACACTTTCAATACCAAAGTAAGAGAAGCTACAGATCAAAACACACACACATCCATTGGAAGGAAGAGAGTGCACACTTGTTCCGAAGGGTGTGCTGTGGGGTTGGCTGGCGTTGGGCCCTCTACTGTGAGCAGAGCAATGAGGGAGTGAGTTTCAGCTCTGGTTACACCTGTGACTCAGCTTGGGATTTTTGTTCAGTGTGCAGCTCCCTGAGCTCCGTTTCAGATCTGGTGAATCAGAAATTTTAAAGTGGGACTTAGGCATCAAGTCTTTCAAACATATTTTTAGGGAGGCTGGCATTGAGAGCAACTGGAGGAAAGTCTTATCTCCGTATTGCTTTGCCCCTTCTTCTTCCCTCTCATCTTCCTTTTATGCTTTGGTGGGAGTTATTTCAAAGGGAAATGGACACCGGGGTTTAATGGACACCTTGCATGTTTTCTTTTGGAGTTCAATAACAGCTCAGTGAAGGGGGGATTTTATAATTTAGACAGTGTGGTATCTGCTTGGAGAAAGGTTTTAAGGATGTGAATGTATTGGCTAAGAATGACCGTTACTGCAGCCCACCCTCCTCTCTTCCTTTACAGGGGACACACATTGATCCAGCCCTTCAACCACACTTAACCCTCTGCTTCCCTTCTCCCTGGCTGCCTGTCCCCAGCCATCCAGAGCATCAAGGCCTTAAATGCTCTCTCCAAAGAAAGCTGCTAAATAGGTGTCCTCACGTACATATGATAAGCAAACCTGTTCTCTCGTATGGTTAGCCAGTGGTAAAGAAGGCATTTGCACCTGGGAAATAAAAGTAAGGAAATCCCATCCTCTTAAGCCATTTACTTGCTCTTGCACAGAGAAGTAGACTAAAAGTCACTGGAGAAGAAAAGGGAATGTCCTAAGCCTTTGGATCTTGAGGATTTTTATTTTTAAGAGTCTCATTTGGCAAACTGGCAGAAAGCTCATGGTGCCAAAATGGAAAGCAAACTTGCCATGTCCAAGGGCTCTCTTCAGCAGCATTTACTCGGGCTTGATCCTTGTGACTCAGAGTGAGCGGCAAAGCCATGTGTCCTTCTTTACTGCTGGGACTGGATGCAGGAATTATCTGGTATCCAGAGAAGCTAAGTCAACTTGCTGGGATAGAGTCAGGTTGATAATATACCTGCTCCATCTAAATGTGAGCATGGCCACTCATGGGAGATTGCTTTTTGCATTTGATTTCAATTAACAAAGCATAAATCACGTTTAATTTTCTGTTCTGCTCCCTTCCCTCAAATGGATGATTCACAGCTCTGGGAAGGCTACTGCATGTGGCTCAGAGAAGAGAAAAAAGAGAATCCATCGTTCCAAAATGTGCAGCTGTCATTGCTCCCCTATTCATTTATTATTTTTTTTTCTTTTTGCAAATATCACTCTGAAAGATATGAAGCCTTGACATCACGACTTGGACCTAGCAGCTCACAGCACAACTATAATAACAGAATCATTCAGCAGTCCCATTTATCTGGTCCCTGTTTATCTGAGCATGGAAACCATGACTTCAGAGTAGTAAAGGTGCAGCTGTTTGTGGGATTCCTTACAGCCTGCTAAAGACCCTCAGATCAAATTGTAAGTCCAGTGGAGTGCAATGTGCTCAGAGCCTATAGTACTAGGAGCACCAGTCAGAGCTTCACTTCTCTCACACCTCACCAAAACCCTTGGTTCTTCCAGCGCCTTCACCTTCCTGCCCCCTTCCATTTGTCCATCCCATCACTTTCCAGAGGAAGTTTCCCCTGTCCCCCTGCTGTCAGAAGAGAGTTAGCTGTGTTTTGACCTTACCTATGTCTGTGTCTTGGGTAAGTAGAATTAGGTTTCTGAACTTGTTCCACATCTATAAGAGGAGCGCAGTTAATCCCTACCTGGCCAACCACCTAGAGTTTCTATGTTGATCAAAATGAGCTCATGGATGGAAAGCATTTGGAAGGAATAAAATGCTTCATCAACACAAATGATGGTGATGATGACGCTGACAGTGATGGCAATGATACCAGTGCTGCACTGTTGGTGGTAATGAAGATGGTGATGGTGATGCTGATAATCAGGAGATGGTGATGGTGATGGTGATGGTGATGCTGATCATCAGGATATGGTGATGGTGATGCTGATCATCAGGAGATGGTGATGCTGATGCTGATAATCATGAAGAAGATTAATAAGGAGGGGAAGAGGAGGTTCATAATACCCCTTCCAGAACAATAGGCCTTGATAGAGTTCCAAAAGGGTATCTTCAGGTGATTCTACTGTCTTACTCAGATTGAATAATTACAAAAGTGCTAAAAGAAAAAAAAAAATCTTTTTTTTTTTTTGGTTTTTCTCCGGTACCGGGAACTGAACTCACGACCTTGAGCTTGCCACGCAGGTGCTTTTGCCGCTGAGCTAAATCCCCAGCCCCCAAAAATCATTGATTTACATACAGCTCAGACTAGGAACCAGCTCTTTATTATAGCAATGAATTTTATACATTCAAATGCAAAGGCTCCTCCTTACTTGGTCCCTCTTCCAGTCCATTCATAGATAAACTCCTCTTTCTGCCCTTCCCTTTACACTCAAAGGCCTTTCAGATATGACAAGGCTCAAGGATCCAAGCACATAGGGCCAACCAGATTCCTCTGAGATGAAAGTGAAAGTAAAATTTGCAACATTCCAGGCTCTGAAGCTCCCACTCCCAAAAGTTTACACCAAAGACAAAGATGACTAAAACCAAAGCTCATGCCTAGAGGGGAGTAGCTCTCATGCAAATAATTTGAAGTTGTGGGATTTCCTCATGTTCTTCTTGACACAAATCAATGTGGTGAGAGATGAGTTCATGTTTTCCAGTTTCCCATAGGAATGAGAAATTTTTATTTTCAGACATAAGAGATGCCAAATTGTGGAATATCTTACACGATGAGGTAATAAGAGTGTGTCCTATGTAATCTGGGCAGGAAACAAAGGTTTAAAATAAATGAATCTTTAGTATCCCTGGTTGTGGGAGAACAACAGTATTCTTTAAGATAGTCACATTTCATTCAGTCTTGTATTGCATAAATGCCTATAGAGTAGCCAAGTGGCAATTGAAAGAGACATAGGAAATAATAGAGACATGACTTGTCTTGACAGAACTCTCAGCTCAGTGGGGAAGAAGGACGTGGAAGTCTACATAGCAAAGGATGCCCAGAATTATGAGAGGGATGCATAGCAAGCACACAGAACCATGGGGGAGAACCGACCAGGGGAAAAATACTAATGTTAAAGACACATTAGCAGCATTTGCCACATAACAAATCATGAAAGAATTACTGTGCTCCACAGTGAGGCTACAGCACACAGCGGTAGTGTCACCAGATTGTGGCTCCCAGGGGAACTCTTTCCAGGTACTTGGTCTCCTGCACAAAGAATTGGACAAGACACACAGAAATGGTAGTAGAGATGTGCACTTATTGAAAGTGAAAAAAAAGTATGCTCTGCAGAGAGCTGACCAGTGGACAGACTCACAGTGCCTGGAGAATAAGGGAAAGGAATCTTTCATATCTGGATTGGCTTTCCTGTCATGCAGATGAGGTTTCAGGATTGTTGACCTATCAAAATTCACTTGGTCCAGCCCCAGATTTGAACTGCTGTAGCAAAAGTCTCTGGCTTCAGGCCAGATGTAAATGAAAAATTGAAAATAGCACTTTTCTCATCAGTTCCGTGTACAGGGTGCAGAGCTAGTCATCCTGGATCCTGTGTTCTGCACATGCGCTCTCAGTTTCCATGACTTTGACAAGTTCTGCCCAGCTGTTTGACTTGTATCTGCTCTAACCCTAATCTCCTACCTCAGCGGACACTTAAAATAAATGAGAAATATAAAGTATAAGACCTACTAATTGGGAGTGTTACTAAGCACAGGTTTGGGACAAAAGCACAAGTATCCATACAGCACATTATTATCAAGGAAAATCTTTCCACAGGAGAAAAAATACTGCATCTTTAAGTGAGCATAATCTATTCATTAATAGGGAACATAAACCGCCTACTTTCCTTAGCGTTATCTGAGACCAAAGTCAAAGGATGAGCCTCTGCCTTTGTTGTTCTGTACTTGTTCATTATATATCAAGAAGGAACCGCCAAGCCAATAGAAACTCACCTTTTCTGAAAATGTGCCAAAATTAATAATAATTCAAATTAAAACACACACACACTCATACATCTTAAACAGATGACAGTATAATGCAAATTATTCCTTTAGCTCAGGGATGATCAACAAGTCTTATAACTGTTTTAAACATGGGAGTTGTGAGGGCTTGGGAATTTAAGGTGCTTTCTCAAACTTCCACAGAAATATAAGGACTGAATTTAAAGCACAACACAGTTTGCTGCTCCAGCAATAACGGGAAGGGGAAGCTCCAGCACAGCCTGCCCAGACAATCACAGGAAGCCTAATTTCAAAGGTATTTTCATAATCACTTTTCTAATCCCAGGACAGGTCAGCTTGAACATCTTTGATCTCACGCAATCATTCTGAACCCCTTGGGAAATAATTATTTTAAGAAAGAATTAATTCTGCGTGTTAGTTGCAGAGAAACATGGCCAGTTAGGAAATCATTCATGAAGCCGCAAGTAGGGTAGAGCTTGGTATTTCGTGTTTTGGAATCAGGAAGATTTGCATTACACGTTCTTCCTTATTCTGAGTTGGCCCTGTAGCACTCTTGTTGCCG